AATAAAAGCTACTGAGCAGTACTTTCCTTTGGTACTGGTTATTATGCTGTACAAGGTGGTTCTAACTTTTGAGTCTGTGGATGAAATCCTATGATGTGACCATTCAAATGAAAGCTACTGAGCAGTACTTTCCTGTGGTACTGGTTATTATGCTGTACAAGGTGGTTCTAGCTTTTGAGTCTGTGGATGAAATCCTATGATGTGACCATTCAAATAAAAGCTACTGAGCAGTACTTTCCTTTGGTACTGGTTATTATGCTATACAAGGTGGCTCTAACTTTTGAGTCTGTGGATGAAATCCTATGATGTTACAATTCAAATGAAAGCTTCTGAGCTGTTCTTCGTTTGGTACTGTTTATTGTGCTGTAAAACCGTAGTTTTAACTTTTGAGTCTGTCAATGAATTGACCATGCAAATGAAAGCTACTAAGAAGTACTTTTCTGTTATACAAGGTACAAAGTTATAGCTTTTGAGTCTATAGTTAATATCCCATTGTGTGCCGAGCAATCCAAACTGAGTCCTCTTCTAAAAGTATACATCAGTTATAAGAAATATGCGGGCTCGTTTTTAATCACTCATTTAAAGCCCTTACCATAAAACTGTAATCCAAACACTTTGTAACCCTTTGCCTTGACAATCTTTGCGCATCGACAAGCAAACCCTTGCATGTAGTTGTTCCAATCTCTCCAGTTGATCATTCGCCCGCCATACACCTTGCTAGTCTTATCTCTTTCGTTCAACACTTGTTCCTTAAGCACGCGATCGGGACTGTCTTGGAAACATCCCTTCGCCTTGTATGCTACCTCGCAAGAACTGCAATGCCAGGCCTTAACTGGAAGGGAGAAGAGAAGAGTAGGATTAAGGGATAGAATAATCTTTCGGGGTCCCTTTTAAAAGCTATGCAACAATCTAATCTCGTACCCAGATCTCCTACAGGCAGGCTGATGGGCCCAACCTACAAACATCCGCGAGATCTCGGCACTAGATAAGAATGCGTTTGCGCATGCCAGGACTCGCTGTCCCAGCGACTGTAATTCGTCGAGGGAGAATTCAATACAGTCTCATTACCTGAAAGGAGCTGGGACTCGCGCTGGTGGCGAAAAAGTCTAGTCACATTTCATGTGTAACTCACGAAAAATATTTCACACTTGAAAACCCTAACGCCGTTGTTGGTACATTTAGGTGAAAACCACAAGGTGTGTTAAGTGGACACATTTCCCTTTCAAGGATAGCTTTGTTAGTGGCCATAGTTCATGGCCCTCTTTGATCCCCTGGCATCCTTCATGTTATATGTACCCACTAACGATTATCGATCAGTTTTTCGATTGGCGCTCTGATTGGTAATTAGCCGATGTATATTCGCTAATCGTGCAAAACCAATTTCAGTTGAAAGGAGATTCTAACCAAGATGGAAATTCAACAAAAATTACAGTCCCCACAAACAAAGCATCCCGACTGTACATTCGCCTGATGCTGCCGGATTAAAAATATATGATGGTAATTAAAGTCTTTTTTTATTATTTCCAGCGGCAACCATTTAACATGAAAATAAATTGTTTAACTTACTTTTAAGTCAAAATTCTTAGGTCGAGATGGAATTAAAATTGTCCTTTACCGCTCAAAGTAGGAAAGCAATAGCCTGCTCTCGAAAGGAGCCGACTACATGTATACGTATTTGCCTCAAAATCGAATTGGTTATTCATTTTGGATTTTGTGTACGTCTTGTAATTGCAAAGTTGACTTGGCCGTAGAAACTATGATTTGGGATAGTTTTTATGAAACAAAGAGAAGAGATAGAAAAAATTAAATAGAAAACTCTGGAAACAGTCGACTGCTACATGAATCTTAGATTTTATATTAGTTGTATATATTCACAGCGGGAACTGTTTTTCTGGTGTGGTAAAAAAGTCTCACTACGGTTTTGCCGCAACCTCAAAACAACATCTACAATTAAAACATTTGTACAGTGTGGCATGCTAAAAAACTTTTAAAACGTGACAAAATCAGGGTAGTTGTCTCATAGCTCTTGAGTCGACGATTAAAATTCTTAAGTGCGAGCATAATGATTTTAATGAAAGCTCTCTTTTGATGACCACCTCGTCTCTTGATATCTTTGATTTATGAACTTATGCTTCTTGTTATCTTCAGTACCCTAATTTAAAACTGGAAGGTTCGCGACAACCGTCTGCCGCCAGCAAAATCGACAAAAGGTTTTAACAAAGGTCTTTTAATTTGTTTAAACAAGGTCGGTCGGCCTTTTTAAACATTTCTAAGTCAGTATACTTGCATGATTACTCACTGAAAGCGAGTTAGTGACTTTTCTCAGACAAATCTCTTGTATTGAAGTATTCTTGTAACCATGACTATCAGCTCAAGTCTTTGGAAATGATTTTTCTTAAATAACGACTTCAATTACTTTATTCTACTAAGTTAGCGAATTCGAGCATAACATACCACTAGTTTCACAAGTTAATGTTAGGATGCTATGACAACATAAAATACCTTGGTGATCGAACTCCGCGCACAGCAGAAGAAGAAAAAGAATTAACCGTGTTTCCATGTTGACGCTGGCTTGGGCAAAGGGAACGTACTGCCAAAATTGGCTTAATACTCCAGCGCTAAGCCCGATCGATAACTAATGAGTCGTGAGATACGAGTGCCCTGTTAGAGACGACTAAAACTAATTATATACCCTTTAATGCCAATAACAATAAAAACATTAGCATCATATTAGGTCAGGATAGAAACAATTACTAGAAGAAAAGGAGTGTTTTGACAAGTGCAAACAATGACACGTCAACTGATCTGCGATAGCGAATCCGGGCGCAATGAAAATCATTCAAAGCAGAAATTGTTTAATTGTTTTGATGAGGTCTAACGAGAATTTAGGGTAGCTTGTGTAACATTTGCTTACTGAGAAACGATGAAAAAGATAATTATATTAGGCTCTATTAGCCGATTGAGATAAAAGTGAAGGCTTTAAGAATTAAAAATTTCTTTGAGTTAAATAAAGGCTGAGAGATTGGTTAGAAAGCAAATGGTGAGCCGACAGTGAAGCGAACAGGTGTTAAGTACTATTTATTGCGGGAAAAAATGATTATTACTATTAAAAAGAATTGTTTGGTGCCGCTACCCGATTATATTTTGAAGAAGCGGTTAACAGAAAAGTGTCTTTTAGGTTTCGTATTGCCAGGCTGAATGCATAATGACCTTTTTTAAATTAAATTAAAAGTAACGAAACGTAAGAAAAAAAAATTCACGATCAGTGAATAGAGCTGAGAAAATGCCCTCATCACACATTTGCGTCCCCAGAGCCCTTGGTTTTTTTGGTCAGGTATAAGCCGAGTGGCTTTGGGGACGAGAGAAGCGCATGCGCAGTCTGGTGCAATTGCTACTAATTTTCGACTAATATCCCTTGGTCGACTCCCCGTCTCTATTAACTCCTTCCCCCTCCAAATGGGCTTGAAATAAGTATGCCCCCCCCCCCCCGGGGGGAGCTTATTAAAGAATTTACCGTAAATAATTCAACTTAAAACCACAGCGCCACTGTTAGGAAATGAGCCCGGCCAGCGCTACTTCTCCGAAAGGATTTTTTGAAGTCTGTTCTGGAAGAGGCTCAGGGGAATAAAGCAAAAGAAATGACATTGAGATACAGGGATGAATCATTCATTCGTTTTTGTTTTGTTATTTACGTGTTTCAGTTTCAAGTTTTGTGATTGTTTTGCTTTTTGCTGTTTTTTTTTTAACATTATGTTTCTATTTTGTGTTTTTGTTTTGTGTGCTTTTTTGTATTTCCGTTTTGGCATTCAGCGGTGTGTTTCTGTTTCCTACTCGCGTGTTTCTGTTTTGGGGCTTGGGTTTCCGTTTTGGCTTGCGTTAGATCAGCAAAACAACAACGGTTTGTACGTGCATCACGCTTTTTGTACATTTCATTGCCTTCACTGCACGATTACGACGTGAAACCGCCTAATTTCACTTCTTATGGAAGACGTGAACACAAGACAACGACTTTTCCTGGACTTCGATTAAGTCCTTTAGAATTCAACTGCAGCAAAATTTGCCAACATTTGACTAATTGAACGAGATGGAATAAGCGCGATAAAGTTTGAAGCAGAGCGATTTCACTTTTTAAGTGACGTTTTCGTACAACCTCGTCCCCAGGGCTTTTCCCTTAAAAAAAAGCCCTGGGGACGAGGTTGGTTTTCGTAGCCGTCGCCCTTGTTGTTGCTTAAGCTACTTACTAACACTTCTCACTTGGGGCAAAAGTGTGACCTAGGGGAGGGGTAGCCACAGTTTCTTCTGTTGAGTAAAGAAAGCACGTAACCAGTCTTTTATATCTGGCCTTTTAATTATCGTGCAACAAAGCCAAAGTAATCGCGAGACCAAATCCTTTCTAATCAAAACAGATACAGATAGCGCAATGAACTAATCAGAGCTCAAAGTAAAATTCATGTGATACACAAAGGGGAACGGAAGGGGGGGGGGGGGGGTAAGAGATCACCGTAAGAGCCTGGACCAGCCTCGTTCCCAGGGGGGAAGGGAGGGTAAGACTCATCACCTCAAGAGCTTGGACCAGCCTCGTGCTCAGGGCTTTTTCCTTAGAAAATGGGAGGAGTGGGAAAGGGCCCTTGGGACGAGGCTGAGCTTGGACCTGTTGACTAGATGGCCGCGCCTGGTAAAGCGAACGGTAAGCACTGGGGCGAAAATCCATGAGATCCTGTGTAAGCTAAGAATGTCTATGCAAGAGTGGGCAGAGTACGTATAAGTCTTGAGCTTTATTTCTTGCTCTAAATAAAACGAGGTTAGAGAATGACTGACCTAAGATCGATATGCGAAAGATTTTCTCAGTAAAAAATATCGATAAAATTCAAATAGGATCAGTTTAAGATAGATGAGAACGTCCATATGGTTTACATTGAGATCAGTTTATAAAACAAGTGAATTATGACCGAATGATTTAGCTATACATAAAATACTATGCAGCCTTTGTCCTCACAACACTGAGCCGCGCCAGAGGGCTGGTAACTAACGTAACTTGGATCAGGCGTGTGAACGCCATCAAAACAAATCCCACAATTCTGTTCGGACGCTTGACTCAATTTATACTCCCAGGTTCCTTTCATTGTAAACGTGGTCGAACACAAACTACATTTAAAAGTAGCTCCTTCAGAATTCTGGGACGCTTTCCAAACGTCTTTTTCGGGGTGATAAAGAACACACCGTTTTCTTCCGTAGTGTGGATCGTATTCCTTGTGACAACGAACGCAATGAACAGTGTCAGCCGTAAACTTGCTTTTCGGAAGTAATGTTCCCAAGGCCATGATGACGTCAGAGTCTTTTGTTTTTAGACTGTGTTTAAGAATACCATGAAGTTTCAAAGGATCAATCGTTTTAAAAACAGCTCTTAACCGATTATATTCCCTTTCCAGTTCGCCTTCCGACAGATCTCCTTTGTGCTCCTTATGCTCTTGATTATTCTTTAGTATGTGATGATAATTGTGGCCGTTTTGAAGAGGCTGGATGCAGTCTGGGTACGAGCCGCTCGTACTGCTGTCAGAGAGACTGGAAATAGAGTAAGCTTCAGCTTGAGCTACATCATAAGCTACGTCATCAGAGGATGACGAAGAATCCATAAAATGAACTTTCTTTTTCCTTTGTTTGCCACCTAGGAGAATTTCATTGGAGTTTTTCTCGCCATTCATTAGGTACCCACCATTTTTAAACTGCGCATCGTCCGAACTTAATACCATTACCTCAGCAAACTTATCGAAAACAAATTGATCTTCGCTTGTAAAACCGTTTTTTCCTGCAAAGTGAAACTCGTTGTCCTGTAGTTGAGTTTTGTCTAATGAGTCAGTATCACTATGACAATAGTGAATTTCTTTTTGCATCTCATGTTCACATTCGGGACATTGCAGATCTTCCTCGTCATAACTCTCCCCAGGCTCCAGTTCGTCCTCTTCGAACGTTGAGCACGTGGAACACGTTGAGCACGTGGAACAGCTGCATTCCGATCCTGTGTCGTCATCATAATCAGAGTACTCTTCATGGTCGTTTATAAAAGATGAATCACTATGATTATTAATATATCCATGTTCTTCTACGATTTTGCCTTCCATTGCAAATTTAGGTTAATCTGCAGAAACAAGACTTTTCTATTCCCTGTAAAGATAAACACGCAAAAAGAATTTATTAACGATCAATTAGCTTTAATCATTACTTTCCACGTTCAAGTTAGTTAGCGATAGAGGAAGGAATCATTTATACCGATTATTATAATCAGTTGAAAGCAAAGGATGGTTGTTCCTGAACCTACAGTACCACACGGCCCAGCCATCCTCAAGTCTTACTGTTGTTGTTAAGTTGTTACCCAAGCAAGTTTAAGTGGATGCTAAGTGAGAAGTAAGTGCTAATGTTGGCTTAGGGGAGGGGTAGGTGGACAGCTTCCCAGAAACGTATAGTATAAATATCTGTTTATTTAAGGATTTTCGTTTAAATCAGCTATAAATCGAAAGAGGTTCTGGCGTCGCCATGACCCCATATGCATGTTTAAGTTCAAAATGTTTAGATCAAACTGTCAAAAAAAAAAAACATTATCAGCTGAACGACACCGAAACGTCGTTCGATCTTATCGTCTATCTTTAATGGTTAGTTGCTGCTTTTGATAAACAAAACTATCTGCAAGAAAATTGTCTGCTAATTGGTTTATGTATAATACCATTATCATTATCGAGTCGGAAAACCTGTGAAATGGCATAAGATGCATTCTATCGCTCTATTGTCGGTCACAGACGCCATAAAAATGTAACCTTCAACCAACACATTGAAGAGATATTCCATATTGTATTGAGTTTAATAAGTGGGATTTGGATACTTTAGAACTAAAATAACTGATGCAGTCACCACTGTAGATGGTTACCATGGCTACACTATCGAGGAACTTTTTCACGGTTTCTTTTTTTTCTTTAAATTTTGCAAAAAGGAAGAAAAGTCGATCATGGCCGGCCAGTTTTCGAAGCGGAAGAAAGTTTCAATGAGCAGGAAAACCTTCGCTCTGACGAACTGCTATGCGAAGTGCGTTATCTTCTCAATCTTTTCTCGGGGGTAATTTGACTATCAGTAAAGTTTCGTATCAACCTAGTTGGTAACACAAAATTAAGTTTATTGTAAAATGTCGCCACTGACGCAACACTAAAATAGAGACCGACGAAACCCCCGTCATACAAATTGACTATGTTATTCCATTACTGAATAGCTGACAATTCAATCATTCTGTTCAGTTAATGTCCATGTTCGCTGTCTAAACAATACCTTTAGTTCCTTTGGAAAAAACTAACATGACGTCGGCTAGTGTCGAAACGTTTGAGTTTTTACCTCAAGAACGGTGTTAACGTAAAGAAAAACTCCATTAAAATTGATACCTCGACACAGCCTTGGTATTAAAGCTTCCCCGACGCCTTCCGTTCATTTGCAGTTTGAGAAAGACGGCAAAATGATTTCACAACTTCTTAGCTTTTGGCATGCGTGATCGAATACATTCTCGCAAGCATCCTGCGATCACCAATGAATAAAAATGCCGATAACAGTTCAATATAGCGGTTGTAACGTTCCTACTGGCTAAAGTGTTGCTAATTTAACAAGTCTTCTGATATAAGATAGTAACTGTCAATTTGGTAGGCCCCCAAAACCAGAAGTCTCTATTTTTATATCAAAAATAGCTATTATAATACCCTCTGGCTATATAGTGTAGCGGATCTCGCGCGATCCAGGCATTTTCAGAAACAAAAATAACAATCGCAGTCCAATGTCGTGTTTCATTACATTTCGGACGACTAAAATAGTTCTACGTACACAACACTGATCAAACTACACTTTCATGGCCTCTATGCGAAATATTACCAATAAAATAAATGTGTTCGAAAATTAGCTAATTGTAGTTTTTGTTCACACATTTTCAGTGTTAGCTATTTTTTTTTAATGAAATCTTTCCCACCTAAGCACAAGACAGACTCGGAGCTTCGAACTGCACACAATAGACCGCCCAATACAACTCGATTTCTCAGTGTCCGATACAAATGAAGATATTTCTGGCGTCGAATAAATATTTCTAACGTGTAAAGCTCTCAACCGAATACGAAAGTGTCAGAGCCTCTTAAAAACCATTTTGCCCCGATAAAGTCCAGCAGTCTTTTTGAGGTCAGCGATTTCACCCTCGCGTTAGCTTCATGATCATAACGATACAGTACTCTTGATGACTGCTAAATTAAACTAATACATCAATGGTATTTGTTTCATTTGAATGCTTTGCCTTGAAAATTTAATATTATTATTTATTTATTAATTGCATCGATTTCTCGTGCCAATTTTTATTAACTTTACGCCAATTACACGAATACTTCCTGGTACTCAAAATTCATTGTGTTTTACGTCATTTTAGCTCTTTGGCTAACGTAGCCACGACGTTCTTCATTACAACTTAATATACCATTTCCGAGTGGCAAAACCTCTCACTTTCAAAACCAGGTTAAGAGCAAAACCTTTCTTGTGAGTTTTATTTGAATGAGAATGAAAAATCATTTTCATATCAGTACCTTCGCATTTAGCCTCGCTTTGAAACAGAGGTTTGGAGCAGCCGGGAAATGGCCAATTGACCTTTTAACCGATACGGCGGCCATATTGAATTAATTCGATTTAAGCACATTTTCGAGCGCTTTTCGGGACATCTTTTCAGAAAGTTTTCTCAGAATAAGATTGTAATGGGAAAATAGATCCTTGTGCCGTGTTTGGATGTAATAATCGGATCGCCTTTTTCCCGAGAAATATACAGTGAAAAACCATAATTCTAATACTAAACTAGAAAAAGACTATCATTATTACATCCAAACACGGCACAAGGATCTTTTTCCCCATTACAATCTTCATCTAACAAAACTTTAAGAAAAAATGTCCCGAAAAGCGCTCGAAAATACAAAGGAAATGTGCTCATGCCCTTAATACTCCTTAAATCGAATTAATTCAATATGGCCGCCGTATCGGTAAAAAGGTCTATTGTAGTACAAGAAAAGAAAGTGTCTCTTTCCCACTCTCTATAGTCTCCTAGCGGCAAATAGAGTCCTCTGCGCGCCGGAGAAGAGAGACTGAGTATTTAACATGAATGATCAGTTAACCAAGTTTCCCTTAAAAATAGAAATAAATTAACAAATTAATAGAATAATAATAACGATACTAATCTGCGATACTATGCTTGAAAGGCTCAAGATCCAGAAGAAGACAGCCAGACTTTGTTGACTCAGACCTACAGATTGATAATATTAGAACCTGCCCGAATTAATTTTTTTTTAAAGAATTAGGAATTTAGGAATACGAGATTTTTATTCTTTTTAACTTGTTTTCTTTTTAATATCAGAGACGGATTGGTAATGACTTAATTTAAAACTCTGGACTGCCTGCGGGGGTCAAGTGACCTCATCTGAGCCGCAAGGAATGTATTTGTGAAATCGTTATTGACACAGTGACTGCTATTTTTATCATTTATACTATTCTTAATGTTATATAGTGCTTGATTCTTGCTCGCTCCAAATATTTCTGTAAATTGTGTACATATTTTTTTAAAGTTGAATAAAATTATTACTTTTTAAATTTAAAAAAATAATAATAATAATAATTGAAAAGAACACTGGAGCATACTGCATTTTAAAAGGGTTATGGTATGGTCAGTTTCACAACTCTGTTTAAGGGTGAGCTGAAATTTATACGACTAGTATTCTCAGTCATCTCAGTTCGTATATTAAAATAAAAGAAATATCAAATGATTCCGTCAAAGGGGAAACAGGGAAACAGTGCATAAATGGTTTTTGGTCATTTTTTCGACATTACGGGAGTTTAACTTTGAAACGTTCGCCCACTATTCCAGGGTTTTCGTTGATTTCCAATGCGATTTTAAGGTTCTGCATTAATACCAAAGGGTCGTGACAAAGCTACTTTCAAACATTTTATATCGGTTTAAGTTTTGAATGAAAGCAAAACCTAAGATAAGTCATGAGAAAGCGGGCCAACTTCCTCAACGTAAACTTGCACGGGAGCACTTGTTACGAATTTAATGCTTAGCTCATTTTGTTTGATTGTGAAAATGACACTGAAAACAGAAAGGGAGGAAAGAAAATTATAAGATTTCGTTATAAGGGAAAAAGTTCGCTTAGTTGTTTTTTAAAGAATTCGCCTCGATTGATTCAATATTCAGCAGACAAATTCCAGAGGGAATTTGGCTTTCTGAGAAGGTGGTCTTGTGAGTTGAAGGGTTATCTAAATTTGATGTCTCTAAATACCCTGCGAGCAGTGGTTTCTCCAGGCCGGACGCTACGCTCCCGTAGCGTCCGGTCTGGAGAAACCACTGCTCGCAGTATAGTCTCTAAAGGAACTTATATCTACTAATTTAATGTTACCCCAGGCGGGGGGAGGGGGTCACGTTTTAAGCTTTTGTATGTGCTACGAAACTAATCAGTATTTAGAGCCCCAGGCCATTTCTCATTGTCACTATATTTACAGCTACCAAGACTGGTTGAAAATTGATTTAAAAACGCTGGAACTGTTTTGTCGACGTTAAATCTTCGTTTCACTGTTTGATAATGAAACGTCGACATAAGAGGAAAAGTTTGAGCTAACATGCATTTTACAAAGTTTTCTGAAGTATACAAACGTCGTTGAGGTAAGTTTCTTCCGCCATGAGCTTAGAACCTATCTAGGTTAGACTGGACCGTCTCAAGGAATGGTTAACCATTATATGAAGCAATTATACTGTAACTTTTTTTTAAACTTAGCTCGCGTTTTTTGGGAATTGTTAGAAATGGAAAACGGAAAGAAAAGGAAAAAGAAGAGACAAAACGAAAAAAATTAATAAGATATAATAGGGGAACAGTATGATCAACCCTTCTTTTTTCTCTAATTTGTTCTTTAGATCAATCATTCGTCTATGTCGGTTCATGCATGTCGCTCAGTTTCGCCTTGGTTTCCAATATTCTTAAGATGTCTCTATTTTTATCGCCTACTTAAGCGATCCTTTTGTAAATAGAGACGTCAGTAGCAATTAGTTCTCGCACACTGGGCCAGAACGAGCAATTAG